AATCATCTTCTGAGCACCTGCCCATTTGAACCTCATACTCCTAGTGGTAACCACTATCCTCTTAGGTGGATTATTTATTCTTTTGTTTTTCCTTATATAGTATCACCCATACATGTATCCCTACAATGCATTCTTTAATTTTGAAAATTTCAGTAGTAAGCATACGATAACTGTGTAAAGAAAGGGAATTTTACCACCGTTAAAAGAAGGCTCCCAGGAGACAATATGTTAAGCAGATTGTCTTAAGATTTTATTGGATTGGATTTTATTTATTTATTTATTTATACAATTTTTTTTTTTTTTTTTTGCAGTTTTTGGCCGGGTTTGAGTTTGAACCCGCCACCTCCAGCCTATGGGGTCCGTGCCCTACTCCTTTGAGCCACAGGCACCACCCTATTTATACAATTTTTTAAGGTGGCTGTGGGAGGCGAGGGTGGCAGCACTCAACCCCCCTGCTGGCCCCGCATCTGCAAGATTTTATTTTAGTAGCTTTTCATTTCTCATGTGAAGTTTTAGTAATTTAATCACCCTTAAACACTCTGTATTCATAATACTGCATTAAGCTTTTTCCCTACTCTTTAGCTGAAACTGTTCTCAGAAAGATCTTTAGTAATTTTATGATTGCCTAGTCTGCAGAATTCTTTAGTTTCTCATTTTACTGGATGTTTGGATGAAAATTTCTTACACTTATTTTGTAGTTTTTAGAAATCCTCCTGAGTTTCTTCATCCCCGTCCTTGTTATTGTACTTCTACTCTATTATGATTTTCTCTGTAATATATTTTTAATCCTGAAGATTGTTTTTCTTAGGTGCGAGAATGTTGTTTGCCTTCTTTAACAATATCTCTAGTTCTAGTTCCTATGACGCATGACTTGTATATTCACTGCTTATTAAGTGACCAAATTTTCTTCTCAGGAGGCAGGCCTTTGTCACTCTTTTTATTTAAATTTTAAATTTGAGACAGAGTCTTGCTCTGTGGCTGGGGCTAGAGTACGGGGATGTCATTGTAGCTCACTGCAACCTTAAACTCCTGGGCCCAGGTGATTCTGCTGCCTCAGCTTCTCAAGTAGCTTGGACCACAAGGTGTGCATCACCATGCCTGGCTAAGTTTTCTTTTCTTTCTTTTCTTTTTTCTTTTTTTTTTTTTTTGAGACAGAGCCTCAAGCTATTGCCCTGGATAGAGTGCTGTGGCATCACAGCTCATAACAACCTCCAACTTCTGGGCTTAAGCGATTCTCTTGCCTGAGCCTCCTGAGTAGCTGGGACTACAGGCACCCGCCACAACACCCAGCTATTTTTTGGTTGTACTTGTCATTGTTTGATAGGCCTGGGCTGGATTTGAACCCGCCAGCTCTGGTGTATATGGCTGGTGCCTTGGCCTCTTGAGCTACAGGTGCCACTCTGGCTAAGTTTTCTAATTTTTTTTTTTGTAAAGATGGGGGTCTCACTCTTGCTCAGTCTGAACTCAAACTCCTGAGTTTAGTGAAGCTCCTGCCTCGGCCTCCCAGAGTGCTAGGATTGTTAAGTGTGAGCCACTGTGCCTGGCCCTTCCTCCTTTTTACTCCTTGGATCTGCTTGGTTTATATACGCTTGATTCCTAACAACAGTATTCCTCATCTCTCCTTTTCGTTTTTATCTTACCACTTCCCTAGCTAACCCCAAACATGTCTCACTGAACTATTGCAATAGTCTTTTTTTTTTTTTTTTTATGGCGACAGAGTCTCACTTTTGTCATTCTCAGTAGAGTGCTATGGCATCATAGCTCACACCTCCAGCTCTTGAGCTCAAGTGATTCCTTTGCCTCAGTCTCCTGAGTAGATGGGACTATAGGCGTCTGCTACAAGGCTCAGCAATTTTTTTTTAGAGACAGGGTCTTGCTCTTGCTCAGGCTGGTTTTAAACCTGTGAGATCACGGTAATCCACCTGCCTCGGCCTCCCAGAGTGCTAGGAGTACAGGCATGAGCCAACATGCCTGGCCGACAATAGTCTTTTAGTTGGTAGCTTTCCTTTAATCTGTCCTATATTCTGCTGCCAGAGTGGTATTTCAGAAGAGCAGCTATGGTCTCTTTCTCCCCATTCTTTTATCTTCTTCCTTGTGCTGTGTCACTGACTTCCTATGGGCTCATAGCAGTGTATTTCTCATCCTGCATTCCATTGGCCAGATAAGGGCTCTCTGGACTCCTTAAATTGTCAGTTTTTTGTATATGTGCAGTAGGGGAAGAGGGTATTAGGATCCTCAAGAGGTTCTATGTTCTTAAATCCAACACTAGCTTATAAGACAAAATTCATTTCTGATCAGGCCATTTCCTCTTTTTTTTAGCCTTTGTCTTTCCTGGCTATTATCATTGTATCATATGCCTTAGCCATTTTGAAGTGTTTGTTTTTGAGTAGCTTCTTGAGTAGCTGAGATAGTCTCACTATGTTGCTCTTGGTAGAGTACTGTGGTGTCACAGCTCACAGCAACCTCAGACTCTTGGGCTTAAGTGATTGTCTTGCCTCAGCCTCCCAAGTAGCTGGAACTGCAGGCACCCACCATAACACCTGGCCATTTTTTGGTTGTAGTTGTCGTTGTTTGGCTGGATTTGAACCCGCCAGCTCCCATGTGTGTGGCTGGTGCCCTAGCTGCTGAGCTACAGGCGCCAAGCCCATTTTGAAATTTTTGTACCGTATCCTCAAGAAGCAATATAACTTAGTGGTTAAAAGTGAAGTCTTGGAGCCAGAGTGCTGGGTTTAAATCCCTGCTCTGTCACTAATTGTATGACTTTGGCAAAAAACTGTGCCTCAGTTTTCTCATCTGTATAAGGAATGATGTGGGAGGTGAAAATAATATTAGTACCTTTTTGGGTTGGAAGTTAATAAATGAGCTAATACAGGTAAAGAAAATTGAATAGTACTTTGCTTGTAAGTGTAAGTTCTTAATTACCATCATCACTTCTACTCCCTTATCTAGACACTTTTACTAGGAGTGTTCACCCCAGCTGACACTTTGTCTGCTGGTGGGCTTTTTCTCCTCTTTGAAGATTCAGACCAAACATTAGCTACTCTAAAATCTTTTCTGCCCTTTAGAATTTCTTCTTGGTAGAACTGTTCTTTGTGCTTCTATTAGACTCTCCAAGCTTTATTATATTTGTTTGCTTGTCTCCTTACCCGGAATGAACTTTTTAGTCTTTTTATTTCTACATGCCAATGCAAAGTTCTAATTGCAATAGAAGAATTGAGGTTGTATATGAATTTTTAGTTAGTAAGGAATTTGGCAAAGGAAGGAAAAGAAGGTATCTTTAAAGAAAAAAAAAAAAAAGGCTGAGCATGGTGGCCCATGCCTATAATTCTAGTACTCTTGGGATGCCGAGACTGGAGGATTGCTTGAGCTCAGGAGTTCAGGGACCAGCCTGAGCAAGAGTGAGACCTGTCTCTACTAAAAATAGAAAAAAATTAATTGGGTTTGGTGTTGTGTGCCTATAGTCCCAGCTACTTGGGAGACTGAGGCAGGAGGATTGCTTGAGCCCAGGAGTTGGAGGTTGCAGTAAGCTTTGATGATGCCACTGCACTCTAGCCTGGGGGCAAAGTGAGACACTATCCCCCCCTAAAAAATATAAGACCCAGACTATAGTCTCAGGGTCTTGGCCAGGAACAAAGAGTATCCTCTAATTAGGCAGAGGAAAATTTAGTAAAGGAGCTATTTTCAAAGAGTAGTATATTGTGTGTGCTATTATGAATAGAACATAGGAAGCCACAAGGAATAATGATATACTTTGGGTCTACTGAAAGCAGAGGAGGGGAGGAAGTAGATATTAGAACCTGGAAAAAAAAAAAAACTATATGGAGAGGGCAGTCAGAATGGGATGCAACTAGTCAAGGTAATTTTGCAGGGAAGGTGTCTGGAAAATAAGTATCTTGACCTTCTCTTGTTTCTCCCTCCAAATCCCATTTCCCAGTTACCTAGGAAACAGCAGGGGACTTGCTAATGGAAGTTAGTCTTCCAATGAACAGGGCAATGATAAAAATTTAGAAAGGATTTGGAGAAGCAAGGTATCTAGCACATAGGATTTTAGTTAGTAGCCAGATCTAAGTAGCTAGTAGGAAGAAAGAAACATCCAGTAACAACAGTGTCTGCAATAGTATAAACAAAATAGTTTCTGATGAGAAACACCAGAAATAATACTGAAGAGTGACTTTTTCCTGTAGGTCCTCAGGAGAAGTAACAAATACAGTAAATACTATTTTCCCTGTGATAAATACAACACAAGCCCCGTAGGGCTATACTTTAAAGAACTTCAGTGTAGGTTGTCATAATGCCTTATTAAAATTAATATAAAGCTTTTCTTTAGGGTTTTTTTCTCAGATATTCT